TTTACTGCAATTGTAATGTTGAGGAAAGAAATGCGCTTTCGAGTTAGATTATTTTTTAAAAAGTTCTTTTTATATATGTCCTTATTTGAAGTACCCTTTCAACAAAGAAAAATAATATTTGTATTTTATAGTACGATTGAAATTACTTGAAGTAAAATGAAAGTTCAGGTTTGACATGATATAAGCAACAACAAAGACAATTCTGACACATCAACTGTATCTTAATCCAATGTCGAATTATATTGGGACAAAATATGAACTAAGAAATGTGTGCATGGTGACTCCAGAGAACAAGATCATGTGTTCCAGAAGGGTACACGTCTTCTGGAAAGTTTTCAGAAGATATTCTAGTTCACAATTTAACTCCGGCTCTCCTAGATAGAAAAGAATATTGCCAATCAAATGCTTGAAGGGTGATTTACAACACACTTTATTTACACGTGCATAGAAGTTTGATATAATTAGCACAGTCTGTCTGATAAAGCATCATAATGGTATCTAAATTTTTAACATTCATTGAAATGAAATAGAAGATGTCTTAAAAGACCGGACTCTCAACAAATAAAAAAGTCCTCTGCTGATAAAGATATCTATTTGTTTGATATTGTTGCAAATTTCACATATTAAACACAAAACCACGAACCTATTAATTTGATAGAATGTTCCGCAAAGAGAACTTTAGAAAAAGGAAAATAGTGTTTTCTTGTATACAAGAATGACACGTTTTCTTATCAGGAGTTATATTGAAAACAATGTTTTATTTACACGAAAGCGTGGAACTCTAGTGCAAATTATATACTTAAGACACGAAACCGAAGATTTATCATTTGGAACCCTTCCCGTCTAAATGTTTGTGGTATGGCATTGAAGGGTTTTCAATGAAAGAAGCAATAGATGGATACCACTAAAATTAAAGAGAACCTCCTGCAAACTATTACTTAACATAATGTGATGGCATGTTCAGCAGCAGTAACATTCGGAATACCCTATGTTTTACAATTTTCCGTCATTTCGGTTAGCGTTTGGATCACTAGATTCTTAACAGTATATAGAGTTCGGCTTCTTATTGAAGATGTCCAGATTAACAAGTTCTGTCAGTTAAAAGAAAATTATGTTTACAATATTGTTGAACTTTGGTCGTAGATTTAGAAGTAAAAAAGTCTTTAAACATTCAATCTTTATTCAACGTTAAACTACAAAGCTCGGATTGTGCTCTGTCGAAAATGTAAGAATTAAGCATGGGTTTTTGTAGCCTATCGTATCCTGTGGGTAATATTCAGTGCTATTGCAAACTCTATACTGACAATTTTATAGATATTTATTTTAACCTAGCCATTATTTTTTTAAAAATAAATCTTAACATTACGTATTCATAACAAGTTCTCATTTACAACTGATAATTGAATTTTAAGACATTGAAAACATTTTAAAATTAATCAAAATTTAACGACTTTACCAGTGCTAGTAATATACAATGTAACACGACATTTACATTTATGTCATTGTTCAGTGTCTCCTATATCATCTCTCGTTACACGTGTAGCAATTATCTCTCGTTACACGTGTAGCAATTATCTCTCGTTACACGTGTAGCAATTATCTCTCGTTACAAGTGTAGCAATTATCTCTCGTTACACGTGTAGCAATTATCTCTCGTTACACGTGTAGCAATTATCTCTCGTTACAAGTGTAGCAATTATCTCTCGTTACAAGTGTAGCAATTATCTCTCGTTACACGTGTAGCAATTATCTCTCGTTACACGTGTAGCAATTATCTCTCGTTACAAGTGCAGCATTACTATTCATACATATCCTCTTTCTTTGACTGAGACCATCAGTCAAAGTATATAGTACCAATTCAAGTAGAAAAGACAGAACAGGATTGACAATCTTAATTACACAAAACTGGATCTAACTCATTATTTCATACTTTGTCGTTAAAAGTGTAGGTTTTGTCAACTCCCAAATTTTATAGAAACCGGAAACTTATAATTTCAAATAGCACTGGATCCGGAGTCAGACCTGATAATATCAGAAATGGCTGTTTAATATGAGAAAAGCGAAATTTCCAAACAAAATTTAGCTATCTGTGACAATGTGATGTGATTGAATCACTGTAGACCTTTGGATGTTATTTAGGCGATGTATTATATGATGTTATTCTATCAGCCATGCCTTAATTGTAGAACTATAAACACTTATCTATCTCAAATTACTACAATGAACGACAGTAAACGAGTTAACAAGTTCTTCAGCGTACACCACAGTGCCGCACTGGCATAGGTACGTTATATTCCCTGGAATTAGAAAGTTTGATACCAAAATTGAAAAGCCGACATTGATTGTATCAAATGTTCAAACCTCCCAAGTAACACATTCCTACACCGATATATCTTACTGAAATCATGAACTGTTCTACGGTTGGTAGTTTAACGTAAACTTTTATCAGGAATCATTAGATCAGAAAGACAATGGTATGAATATTGAAAATTACAATTATCGATTAAATTGCAGAACTTCTATGCAGTAAGATATAAAGATTCTTATTGTAAATGAAAAGACAATGTTCAGTGATTTATTAATTTCTGTTATGAGGTCATATGGGGGGGGGGGGTTGCCGGACGTCTCACTTGATTAGATTTATCGACTATCGACTATCAATGAATTCGGGTATCTAACAGGAAAGTGATTGTAAAGTTGCCAGTATTTTTACGTATCTAAAATTATCGCCCTAATGCCACATATATTCTCTGTTCATTATTGAAATAGAAATTCGCATAACATAAGCAATGAAACATGTTTATCAATCTTTGTCATTAACTCTGATTAGTCAGGATGAACCACGAAAGACTCATGGCTATCCACATCCTTTCGGCGGATAGATCTCCTGACGTCCGAGGCACAATGTCATTACGTTAGACACGATGATATAGAGATAGTTCATGTCAGAATCGAACTCATGAATCTTCGATCATTGTAGACTAGATAAGTACATGATTCTCTAACCTCTTCTTTGTACATGTATTTTAAATGACTGTGTAATGGAATCGTTATAGAATGTACTTTCTGTGTGTTCGGTCGCTTTGATGTTACATAAAGGGAATTGACACGATAAAAATCCTTATTGAGAGGTAGGTAAATAACATCATTAATCTTTCATCATCTGCGACAGAAAACGAATACGAATACATTTCATATCATAGATCTGCATGTCACGGTTACTAAGCACGACCCTTTGTCTGGTCTACTATTTTATATTTAATGAAACACCGTAAATTAACACACTGCGCTCGATGTCAACAAAACAGCGACACAGACAGTTTCCGTTGATAAGCGTTTAGTCTCGATCGGAGAAAGCTCTATTAAACATGTTCTCATTTTGGAAAAAAAATATCAATTGCTATATCATTATCATCTCAATTCTGTTTCAGTCAATGTTATAGATTTTATGAGTTGGAACATCGGGATAGGTACAAACATTATATTATGAATATTCAGAAGCACACAAACAGAATACTCAAGTACCATGGTCATTGATGCGATACCGTGATAATTATTACATATTTTGGCATACTGTGAAAACATGTTTTCCTGTGGTCCACATTTTGTGCTTTTTGAAAAATTACTACTTCGTAGACATTTGATTTCGCGGATAAATATAGCTCAAAGAATGTTCCTTAACTAATTACATGTATTCGTGGACTTGCGAGTTTGAGTTAAGTGTTAATACTAAATCAAAGAAAATAAATCTCTCACGAAAATAATTTATTTCACAGTAGCGAAATGGCAATAAAACGTATGGATTCTACTACATCGACATTTTCAAGTCAGTATTTGCAGGCGTAAACTTAATAACTTCATTATTGAACAGTTCTACATTCGTTAAAATTCTGCGATTTTGTTGTAGATCGCGCCAGGATAACGCCTGGAAGACCTCGGGGTGTATATGCCATGGAGAAATCTTGCTTACAGCTAGTATGATTTTTCCTTAATCAGCAGAATGCAACAAAACAACGCTAAGCAATGTTATATTACTATTGGTCTCCTTAATATGAGTGTAATTTTTAATATATAGAACCAAATGAGGTTATTATTTCTTAAAAAAATGTAAGTGTATAGAAGTTTCTATACCAGCGAGAAATGTATCTTATTTGAAGTTGTTCCTTAATCCTATGGAAATGTCAATGGGTTATCTGCGGCAAACATTGTTAGTTACTAATCCTACAAAACTGTTAATGGTAAAGCCATTGATATCTATCTATGGATATTTTGTACATCGGACCCCACACAAAGAATTACAGATTTGTTAAAAAGATATGATTTTTAAATCGACAGTTTTGTAATTATAATGAGAAATAGTAACTAGTATCACAAACCTCAACACACTTCCTATGTTTATCAGTAAAGAAAAGCACCATCATAGTTTGATCTTTGTATGATGTTGTTATCGCTCGTAAATGTACTACAACAACTTAAGGGATTACAGAAGTCTTTCTTATACGCCATCAAAGTTTCAGTTATGCTTTGACTGCGTTAAAGAAATTCGCTTGAAAGAAGAAACAAGAACATTTCGGATGATAGTTAACACTTTGTACAGCTGACAAACAAACTCTCCAAGAGAATGAAGCGTTTGGCTTTTAGACTGTATTGTTTTTTTGTTTTTTTTTTTTTTTTTTGAAAAATTTCCAGACTTACATATAATGTCCCCAGAGACTCGCAAACCAACCCCATCACTAACCCTATCACACTTGATCTGTTCATTGCCTGCATTACTTCATGCAAAACAATGCTTGGCATTTAATACCGGTATTTTGCACTTATATTACATAACGTATAGAATAAAGATGAATTGTACGGGGAATGAACAGAGCGATGTTTCATTCCAAGCATGTAGTGAATATACCGCATATGGACTTAAGAATTTCTTGTACAAAGCAATATATATGTTCTGAATAAAGCGTTTCAATTTGACAAATTTTATAAAATCAGTTCATACTTACATTAAGAAATAGCACGAGTTTACACATGATGAATCCCAGGAACCAAGTCTCCGATATATCCACTATCAACGTCGGCGTCAGACAGAAAATAATAACCGTCAAATCGGCGACAGCGAGATTTACGATGAAAATATTGGTCACAGTCCGCATCGTTTTATTACGCCATACTGCAAAACAAACGAGCGAATTTCCTGTCAGTCCTATCACAAAAGTGATGGAATACAAACCGACCAGTGTCCATTCCCAAGGTTTAGGAAACACATGCGTTTCTATGACATTCAGATAATCTTCATCAGGGATACACATTTCATTTGAACAGTTACTACTGGTCAAATTGTACGTAACGTTCGCTGTGTAATTCATTTTGATGACTTTCTGTATTTATTCAAAGTTCTCTCTAACGTTCATACGTTGTTCATATCCAGTCTAGATATTGCTTATCTCACGAAATTTGATTTTATCGTGAGAGTGCCTTGGTGGTCTAGCCCGAGCAAGAATAATGTTTTCTTTGGATTGTATTCATCCGACTTGTCACATTGTTGATATCTATAACGTAAAGGATTGTTTCCCCTCACGTCTGTGTAGTAACTTAATGTTGTAAGATCTCTCGGATAGTTACAACACATCAAATAGTATCGTCTTTCAATTGAATGTTCACTCTGTAACCAAAATCATTTCTAGTTTAATTTTCTGGCATTTGCCATGATATCTAATCTTTCTACCCTTCAGCATAGGAGAGTTCCTATCATACGTTTTGGCGGTGGCTTCCCGTGACCACCCTTTGCGTTGGTGCGTGAGTGTAGTATATTATGGATCAATACTATAACAGCTGCTTAAAACAGCCTGTATTTATCCATTTAATGAGACAAGTTCCCATTGGTCCGACCCTGCCGCGTGCAGCCAATCTATAGTCACCTCTCATAAACCGTCTGGCGTTGCTATCGGACGGAGCAAATGCTGCATCGCTTGACATAGAAAAATTCGGCACTTCTCCACAAGATTGCTAAGAAGATTAGAATTTAAATTGCTGTGGGTACATTTGGGATACATCTATAGTCAACATCATCTCTGTGTCTTTTGGGAGTTCGGATTTCCTCTGGCCTGGATATTTGATTTCATTAGGTGAAGATTAGGACTAGCACCCAGTCGAACAGACAATTGATAGTCACGCGACGATATTGAGTGAGGCGTTGATTACCGATGACGATTACAGAGAAAATACTCCGAGGAATAAACACGTTGATGGGAAATATGATCCCGTGTATCTCTACAACAGTAACAACATATCATTCAATATATACCTCTGTCTATAGTAGGTCATTGTACAGTGTAAAATTGCTTTCTACACATAAAGAAGATCCTTTTGTTAAAAGTAAATAAAGACGAAGATCTATGCATGCCACTATGTAACAATTTTTTAAAACTAGCATGGAAGATAAACTTAGGCAACTTTCGTCAGGTTAACGAATGCTTTCCTATAAAAAATATCTCAGTTTAGGTGTTTCCCAATGTTCTACCAGGGCACAGTACTGAATACCGTATTAGCATTTGGTACCCTCAAGCATTGCTATCCTCGACACTGCTGTAAAGCTTATTTATTTTTATACTATATACATGTAGTTATATTTTTTATGGATATATATCGTAATAATATAAAAACATTAACTTTGCACTACAAAATAATAATAGTATAATTAATGATATGAACATATGATATGATAAAGATAGTTAGTCATAGAGGCCAAGGTCACTAATTCACATGTTCTGCTAACTTTAAGATGGCAAATGCCATCGTGTACGGATGGAAAATATTACAATGTGACTACCCTAGCTATTTCGACACCTGTATATACGATAATTCTGAGATACACACGATGAATTCTCGCCTCTGTCCATGTTCTAAATAGGTGGTAAGGGCAACGAGCTCCTTCAAATTCTTCTCTGTTTAGAACTAAGACAGAATGTGTAAAACCTTAAATAAATACATTTTATCACCAATGTTATTTAGCTTAAAAGGATAAAAGCCTATATATCGCTGCAGCTATCAGCTGTTCTACAATTTATCAGTTATTCATGAGTTTTCAAAAGCAATTGAAATACTAATTGTCTTCCATTTTCATTTGTCATGTAAATCAATAACAAATCCATGTATTTTGACTGTAAGTAACACTTTCCTATTTCTATGCAAAGGATTTGAACACAATTGACTGGCAAAAAATTTGTTTGTTCACATGTATAGAAATCGACCTTGGTGATTACACCCTAATGGGATGTATAAGGACGATGCGGCTTTTTGGAAGTGAAAACACGCTCTTATGCAGCAGTTCTGTTCATTTCGATATAACCTTGAATTTTTTTAACATTTCTTTTTTTTTTCTTTATTCTGAGTTTGTCTTTCCAAGTCACGCTCATGTCGTATTGTCACGATTTGGAGGATAGAACAACATTGTACAAATGTGTAGTAAGGGGTAATCTGAATATGTTCTAAACAATAAATAGAATTCTGGGACAATAAAAAGAATATCTGTTTTAAGGTTTCCAAGTATTAGTATTATCTATAGGTATCAAACTCTACAAGACTACAGAGTAGAAGTATCTAATAGCTAGGCAAACGCTAAAGAAATACATTAACCAGTTGTGAAATGTTTAAAGGTATCAAAACCTTCATAAAATCCACTCTATTGTGCCATCATAAACGTGACACAACTAACTATGGAATGGATTCGTCACGGGAAAACGAAAGTTTAACAAGGATATCCTTGACAGAATACTCGAGAAGGCATGGCTGTCAAACTTTAACTTGTGTTGTAGTAAATGTTGTTTCAGGACAATAATGATGACCTCCCAAATGCTCGAAATTCCGTCTTTTTTCTATGATTTTTCATGTCTTGAAATACAGTTAGTTATTGTAGATTTTGCATACAAAACATTTCTTTCTATGCATTACGCATTAACCGTTATTCAGTGTGAACGTTTTTTAAAATGTTTTATGGCTTAAGAAAAACTAAAACACAAACTCAAATAATAACTAATATGACATACGTTTGATAGATAAGTTACGGCACCTTCATAGATATAAAACTTCTGTCATTTTCATATACTTGAGTATTCATTGTAATCAACCTCAGGCTCTCTGACAAAATAAAAGATAAAACTGCAAATTGTAACTACAAATACACCGAACGTAAACGACAATTAAGTTTAGATGAGACGGGAACCATTTGTCTAAAAACTCTGAATTACTAGAACATAAAGTCTTGTTAGTAAAATAATAAAAATATTAGGTTTGGCAGAAATGAAGATACAAAAACATACCTGTTTACCTTGTGCCCAAGGCCCCGCATACAAAACGTATCTACTATCACGTGAGTGTATGTACGAGTAAATATAAGCTTATGTGTATAGATGTTGGTATGTACACGGGCAGTCATCCTGATTCGGGATTGCTACAATGGTCTGGATTTCGTTACTGGTCTCTTTGGATCACACTAACCGCGTACCTTTAAACCTAACATTGTGATTAAACAATAGGAGATGTAATGAGTGCCCGGTGTAAAATATCAGTACTTACAACAAATCATCAGTGTCAGCTACGAGTCGACATATTTTCACATTGCTTTGTATATAAGTTAAGAAAATACACTCGCTGACTTTTTCACAGCACCTTTTGTACGAGATATGTGTAGTAAGTTATGTTGCTATGTTTCTTTATTATTTACAATGACATCCATTATTATATGAAGTTTGTCAAAGATAACATGTCTCGCATAAACTGTAATGTGATGACATCAATACCAGCACAGAAAAGTAGTATCAGTGTTACCAGTGTAAGACATTTGGGAGTGCTTAATTAGTAAATACCTATCAGAAGCAATAAGAAAACTAGGTTGTATTTTTCCCGTGTGATGTGATCTAATTCAATGTAGTGAGGGCGTGATCAATGGACAGGAAATATCTATAAACCAAAGAAAGAGGGAGTTACTTTCTAGAAGTTAACAATCTCGTTCCAAACGTTCTAGATTTCATTATACGAAATAGGTCGCTTTATATTGGTAACTTGCTCTCCAGAGGGGGACGGAGAGACAACTATCTATATTACATAGCCCTGATTGATTATTATTTCCGAGCTTCACACTTGCATGTCACTTTTGCTAAGGAAAATATCCACTTTCGTTCAACGACCTAGCTCAGGCACGGATTAGACGCATGTGTTCTTAAAACAATTTAACATAACGTCGACTTCATCAATAAGGTAAAAAATGCCTTAATATAATTTCAGAAGGTACTGAATTCCCAATCTCTTCTTGATGTATAAATCAACCGATAGAATAGTTACAAGCATGTGAGGTAAACAGAAAAAAACACTGGGGAGACGATTTTAGAGATTAACGTAATCTGTCAGCCGAACTATGATCGTCAGACATGACTTAAAGCAGATGTCCCCGCGAAAAAAACTTCATCTTTATTCTCTACGAAATGTCGTTGACGCTTATGAGATTTAAAGGAACAAGGATTGAGATCTTATCGGTGGTTTTGAGGAATACACGTCTTATTTATTGGTGCTCGACGGTAAGTGTTATTTCATGGCGGATATAGATATTTGTCAAAACGTTTTCCGCAAAATAGTAGGTATGCTTGCTCTTATCGTTGTCATTAATAGAAAATATATGTGTTTGATAAACTGATTTAACTAAAGAAACACGCCCTATAAGGAAATAGCTCACAAGACAAGGGCCTTCCTTAAGGTTTTTCCGTGAAAGGAGTTATGTAGTAACACATCGAATTTCATCGATACTATCATCACTTGGAAAATTAACTTCAAACAGCGTAAGATCTTGGTGAATTTCACTCAATTTGAAATGGTAACAAATCATATCGCTTAGTGCAGCCTTTGATTAAAATTTGTTGAAGACAAAAAGATAGGTATTAACACTGCAGTGAGTCTTACTATTAGCCGCCTCTCAAAACATGTAATAACATACAACTAGTATTATTTCTCCGCTCTGACACGGATCATTAGGAAACTTAAATTTATATGTGATTTGGATGAAAGAACGGAAGAAGAGCCGTCGTAGGAAGTTCAAAAGGAGAAAAACAGAAAATTGTCGGATTTCTACCTATTGTCTGCGACAAAGTTAGTGGATTTTGTTTTTATTAAAACTAAATTTGTTTTATATTAATACAAAGGAAGTGAATATTTAAAGTTTGTAAAATAAGCCTCAAAGTGTACATTTTGTGTTAGGAAATATTTAGGCACTGATGGGCCTCGAAAGAAACAATAGTTTCTGTCATTTGGATATAAGTGTGTGCTACATATAGGATTAACAGCGTTTTTGATGGGAAATGTCTCTTTCACACCAAAA